TTCCCTCATGTTTAATCCATTTATTAGGTGATTTTTTTAATTATACATTTGTAACTATAAAAATCTACTGAAATTTTAACAAAATTTTATATAATGAGATCTCAAGTTATCAACTAGAAGCTATTATTAATTTAACATTTATCAATGCAACTTAAACATCATCCAACCATCCTAGATATTCTTATATTAATGAAATTAAAATAATTTTTAATCCTACATTCCAACAATTCCATCAATGTAATTTATTTATTATATAAATATATAAAAAAATATGCAGATTATCTTAAAGCATAATAAATTAATTGCATGCATTCATAATTATGTCATAAAAAAGATTTTTAAATTAACATATTCTAATTTAAATAGTTTAGATACTAAAAAAAAGGATTCTCATTTCTTATATACCAAGTAGACATTACAAAAAAAAATACAAATTATATAAGAGTGTATTTAGTACTGTAGTAATTTTTATGGTTGTAATTTTAAAAAAAATATTTTATAAAAAATACTTTTAGTTGAGGTTGGTTTGATATTTATATATATTTGGTTAAAACTATAGTTAAAATTGAGGTTAAACAAAAAGTAATTTAATATGTTTGGTTAATAATACTTTTTAAATTGAAGTTATATATATATATATATATATATGTATGTATGTATGATTTTAAATTTAACTATTGTAGATTTAATTATTATATAATGAAATAAATAATACTTTATATAAAATATTTTTTATTATTTCATTGAACCATTTATAATTCCAGTACGTATAAAATTCATTCGACAAGAACTATAGTTTTTATAATTTTTTAAGCGTGCAATAAAATTAGATAAAACACTATTAAGAATAAAATTAATATTATAGTACGGGTGAATTTAATTCACTCTATACTAGTTTTTCAAGGAAAATAATATTGTTTACATGACAATGCGAGTGAACTTAATTCACCATAAACTAGTTTTTTTTTAATACTGTTCAAAAAATAAACATACTGGAAAAAAAATTGTTCACGTGAAGTGAACAATACGAGGGAATTAAATTTCACTTGGACTGTTCATTGTTTTAAGTGGATAGTACAATTCACTCGCATTGTTCACGTGAACAGTGCGGGTGAATTGCACTGTTCACTAAAACATTGAACAGTGAAGAAGAAAAGCTGCTCCGGCAAAACTTATATTTTAAACTGAATTATACTAGGACCTACCAAAAATAAATTGTATTTTTAATATAACCAAACATTTGTTTTGCTATGATTACTTCAAACGCAGAAGGAACCATGCAAACAAACAGACTCATAACCATTGAATTTAATAAAAAAAATCCTATATAGCTATCAATCCACTCCAAGTTGCAAAAATACTTGTAATTTAACTTAACACAAATATAACATAGCTACTTAATAAATTAAACTAAACAAAAAAAAAATTAAATTTTACTTTCATTACAACTATATTATAGCATTATCAATTATTTCTTTTACAAACTAATTAATCTTAATTAATTCAATACGAGTTATAGTCACCCATAACCTTGAGTTACTGACCCATTTTTAGGTATTCGTTCATCTACATGAATATTTATTTTGATCCTTCATATTAGAGAGATAACCCATCATTAATAATTAAGTCTTCATACCTATTCTAGTTTCCTCATTAGTTAATTAGTTTCTTTATCAATTACCAGATATTAGTTTCATCATGAGAAACTATCTCTCCTATTTATTATTGGGCATTAGTCCCCTTACCGGAAGGCTAATTCCTTCATTCATTGTTGAACACTAATTTTGTTTTCAAGAAACTAGTTTCTTTGCTCATTATTGAGCACTAATCCCATTACCAAGAAGCTAATTCCTTAAATAAATCACTGCGCGCGCACACACAAAATTATAGATTGATAAATTACAATTCAATTAAATAAACATATTTCCATCATATATTAATTAGCACCCCTTGACCGACTATGAATGCCTTTGGGATTATCATGCTTTCTTTATTAATTCTCCCTAATTTAACACCTATTACAAGTTATTCTAATTCAATTGAGTCAGTTTATCATCAATTTATATTTTCTTAAAAATTTTGCCTCAATTTTATATGTTTTGTATGAAATTGCTAAATTGGATTTAAAATACCTTACTAAGCATTAATTTAGTCTTTGACTCTTATCCTGTTAAAATTTTCCAAATTCTTTATTTTTTTTTCTAGTTGTGACAACCTCTTCTAATTTATGTTCATTTCCATTACTTCTCCCTCTTGATAAAGTGTTTAAGGGTGGTGATTCACATTCCCTCCTTAATTTTCTTGGTTTTCACATGGTTTTTTCCTAAAAATTCTATTCAATCTTGTTCGTTCTTCTCTCTTTTTTCCTTTTTTACTTCTAGCCAACCATTAAAGAGGGAAATAAAGAGGTTTTTATTTTTTATTTTTATAGTCAATTCTTTTACTAATTACACATTAACCCCCGCCTTTTGATTTAGTTCTCAATTTGTCTCCATAATTTTCCAATTGATTTCTTCTCTTATCATTTCATTTCAATTTTTCCCTTGATATTAAATTTTAACTCCCTTAATTTTAATTTAACTCATTTTATTCGTGGGTTGGTTAGAATTTTTAATATTTCATGAAGAATTTAGCTAGGAATTTGCAAATATCCTAAGCCAAAAAATCCCAAATTAGTTGAAAAATAAAATTCAAATTGAAAAGAAATCTCTCCCTAACCTTGATCTATCTTTTTAGATGATATAAAACAAAAAAAAACTTTAATAACACTTATCTAGTTAAAAGGAGTACTTTGACATCGTGTTTGATCATTTTCATCAAAGAAATCAGACTGATCATTTTTTTTTTCATAATATTTATAATTTTTTTTCTCCTTCTCTCTCAAGCTTATGGATCAAAACATGAAGGAAAAAAATTATGAACCAAAATATAAAAATCTTGTAAAATAAGGACTAAAAATGAAAAAAAATTCCAGGTACTTTAAGATGCTAAAATCTCGCCACAACTATAGTGGAAAACAACAACCTAGATATTTGTTCAGTTGTCATATTTGATGCTTAAAGTTTTTATTATATCTAATCAAGAAAATTAAACTTGATTTTTCCAAATCAAGAACCAATTTAATGGAAGAACCTTTTTGAAAGACCATGACTGGGATAAATCACCAACCCTAACCTTCAACTAACTAAACTTGTAAAGATAAAATTGAAGAAATAATTAAGTGATCGAAAAAATAATAAAAAAGGAAATTGTGTGGAGTCCACATTAAAATATCGAGCTATCTTAGTGTTTTCTTAATTATCAATACCATTTTTGCATCGTGGCCATCATTCCAGCTTTTATTTTTTATTTCTCCAATTCGGCTTTTATTTTTCTTGAGGTCAGAATATATTCTTCGCATGATTGAGCGACTGAGTTACATCCCCCTTGGTACAAGGGAATGCACCCTATCCTCTGCTTGTATCTTCACAAATGAGATGTAGGCCACTGCTTTACAGTACTATTGATTGTTTTTAAATATTTTTTTTTGGTTTTTTTAATATTAATCAAAACAATATAAAAATAAAAAAAATAATTCAAAATAAAAAAAATTCAAAACTTTTAAAAACACCAGCTAAAATGCTGTACTAAATGGATATTTAGTAAGTGACCTATTCTTCCCTTACTGGTTCTTGTTTGTATTCGATTCTAGAAAATGCATGCCAAATTATTTAATATATTAAATCAATTCTAATTAACTAGCAAAACCAACAAAATTAAATGGTCGGATTCAGCTTCTTAAAACATCTAAATATTCAGGTTCTCTTGCTGGCAAGATTTGATATAGGAAGGAAGCCTCCTGCTGACTACCTGAACATGCTGTGCTCTGCTTATAGCTTGAATTAGATACAGAATACATGATTAACAATAGTATTATGAAAAATTATACAACTCATGTACATGGAAGCAGATTAGATTTGAGTTTGACAAAGAGGAACACACCACGTGGCTTGATTCCCCGCGGCCTGTGCTAAGCTTGGAATGGACTCCTTGTTTATACAGACAGGAAGAGGAAGGAAATGTGCGGTTGTGAGTCTTGTGACAGTGATATAACATGCTTTCCACTCAAGTTTTTAATATTCCCTTTTTCTTAAAAAAAAAGAAAAAAACCTTCATGGCATTATAACCTTTCTGCATGTTCTGTTCTGAGAGGGATGGTTTTTTTTTTTAATTGTCCGATAAGAAGGATAGACAAGCGGGTTTTTTTGTTTTTTTGAAGGGGACAGCATTAAGATGGCTGTTTGTTTCCTACAATTATAGCCCACTCAGGCTGTGAAATGGGTAGTGGTTCAGTGACTGTAAACCCATGGCTCGAGCTTTGGTTACTGGGCCATGGACCATGGATAACTGGGCTGGCCTTAATTGAAAAACCCAATTGGAGATCCTGCTTTGCTAAACTTGCCATTTACTTCCTTGCCTTTGAGATTTTTTAAGAGCATCAAAATATTAGGTTGGGATCCTGTATTTTTTCTTCCACAATATACACATGATGCTTGCTCGATGGAAGCTCTTGAGATCTGTTTTGATTGAAATGGAACCTCTTAAAACTAATTGAACGATTGAGATTTAACTCAGAATTCTTTTCATTATAAGATGATAATTCATTCCTCTTGTAAGGTCCCTTTCTTTCTTTATGCAAATCCATGTAAATGGAAAGGGAGAAACAAATCTTAGAAACAAATTCCTATTCTGCTTAGTAATCGGTGATCAGCCAAGAGATACAACCGTGTTCTTTGTAACGAGAAGGCTTTTGTTCGAAAGGGGGTTGCCGCATTGAATAAAGCTATGTTTTCGGCCTATCAGGATAGCATAAAAGAAATTCACGATGTTCAGGGATCACTGGTATAAATCGAGGCAAGTGTTTAAAGAGGAGAGAAAATGGGGGTGAGAGAGGATCTCAATCCCAGAGGAAGCAAACAATGTAAAAGATCAAACAGGTTTTTTATTAACAAGTAGAATCATTGAATAAAGAGGTTAGATTTATAATGAAGTCGTCTGCATTCTATTATGTATTTATAGTTACAAAAGACTACAATGATCAGGAATATAATTTCTACGAACATTAATAGCATTGCACAATATCAGGAAAGGACTATAATTTCTAAGAACATTAATAGCATTGCACAATATCAGGAATCGATGTTGCTAATAGAGTTTCTCATTTGGTGTTCTGCATTCCTCAACAATTTACACCAGTCAGGGTTTAATTATGTTGATCACCTTGATTAAGTGAAGTGTAGGTTCCCAATTCACAGCTGCTGCCACTGCCTGTCTCAAATCCTCCATCGGTGCTGAAAAAGCAGACATAGCTCATCTTGGAAACTATGCTGGTGATCAATATGAAGGCTGCTCCTGCCTCAAAAACTCCCGCGCTTAAGGTCTGGCAATGAAGCCCATCAGTGCCTGATATGGTCCTGTATTTGGTGTGTTGAGCATTCTTGATTGCACCACCCAGTAAGCATGCCTCAGCAATGAAGAATGTAATCCTGATTTATCATACCATGTTGCATATATTTTTTTTTAAGTACCAATAGTAGCATGGAAACATTGTTGCACTCATAATTAAAATCTATCAACCACTTTAAAGATAGGATTAAAAGATTCTGATAACTTGACTTGCTATGATCACTTACTTACCAGCTTATTATGGATGGGATGACAGCAGATGTCCTACTACCTCCATAGTTCATACCCTTTCGAAAGTAGGAGCTAGCACCCATTGAGAAAACTTGACTTGCCAAGAGTAAAACAAATGCAATAGCTCCCAACTTTGTTGCAATGTCTGCGCTGTAGACGCAGTAGCTATAGATTGAGTCACTGTCAGTAGCAGCCTTGGCCTGAAAACAGAAAATAAATAAATTATAATGCAATTAGTATCTTCTGGGTTTTAATTATTAAACATTCAGTTGTTGTTAGAGCAATCATATACAAAAGTATTTCAGAGAAAATCTCATTGTGTTCGCTGTTAAATGGATTCTGAAACAGTTTGGGTCTGCCCTAGATGTATTAATTATTTCTCAATTTCTTTTTTTTATAAAGGATCAAGTTAAATGCTGTCGTGATCTTCAATATATTTTTTTTTTTTTTAAAGGATCAAGTTAAATGCTGTCGTGATCTTCAATTTGGCTCATAATAGACAAGACAACATCATTGCAAGGAGTGGAATAAAGAGGCAAGAAGCAATACTTACAGTACTTCTCATATGTTCAGCTGCAAGGGCAAGGACAAAAGCAATGAAATCAATGGCAAAGATCGCCATGAACACAAGTGTTGATGCCATTGCAATCCCCACCCACCTCTCTCAAGCAATGAAATCAATCAAATCAGCTAGGCTTTCTCTTTGGGGTTTGACAAACATCAAAATATTCGAAATAAAATTAGCGGTTTTGAAACACAATTGATTAAACACAAAAATCTAAGGTTAATTGAGAATATCAAAGGAAAAATCATAAAGTTCTTGGGTTTAGGATACAACTAACCAATTTATTTCCTTGTGAATGAGCAATCGATCCGATAGAATCCTTTCAGGGTTTTGATTTTGGTTTAGATACGGTAGGGGAGCACAACGAAAGGAAAAAACAAAGGAGTGGGAGAGTTTATCGGTTTGATTCTGTGTTTTTGTACCATTGATCTCTTTTTTCCCGGTGTTTTAAAATGGATTCATACGCCAACCCAATCCTTACAAGTTTGATGTCATTATTTCTAACCCAATTTGATTTACTTTTATTATTTATCCAAGAATTTAATTTTTATAAATTTATATGCTCATTCACAACAATTGCAGGAAGAGAGACTTTCTATATAAAAAAAAAAGTGTTAAAAGAGTTCAAGTTGTTGTACTTGCCGATTTACAAGTTTCTCCTTCCTCATCTCTTATAAATACTTACAAATAAATTTTGTACATATTTTATATTATTATATTACATATTATTAAATTTTTTAACTTCAAATATATTTTATAATAACAATTCTAATAATAAAAAATATATTTAATTTATAATAAATATAAATTTATAAAATTAATATATTTTACGAGATAAAGATTAATTTATATGTTTAATTATCGAAATTAAAGTTTAACAAAAAGAGATTTGATACTCATGGTTTCTTGATTTTGCTCTTTGATAAAAGAAATAGGGATTTGTTGTTTTTATTGTGGAGTGTTTTTGAACAGTTCACTCAAATGAAAACATGGACAAACACCAACCTCTCAATTCCCAATTTTTTCTCCAAATTAAAACCCTAATAAATTATTATCAGTAGAGAATATAAAGCCGTGATAAAAAAATGATCGGATTTGTTAGGATGAACCAAAAATTCGTCGACAAACGAAATTGAATTGTTTCATATTGAACTTTTATTTTCTGCAAGGGGGATCGATCCTTCACTACTTCAGTAAAAAGAAATTGAGGGGATCCTTCACTACTTCAGTAAAAAGAAATTTTCACTTGCAAGGCTTCAAGTTTCTTCTAATAACTCTTCATACCCTCCCATCAGATGTTGAGTTGAATCAACAAATACAAACGTGAATCTTCATGGATGAGAAATTTTCCTGCAAGGGGGCTGTCCTTTCTTGATCTGGTTTTAAAATTTGAACTGACCATCCCATAACAAAGACTTTTCGCGTTGTTTGTTTCGCGCTTTGAAGATGCTTAGACCAGAAAAACGCGGGGATTCTTTATTGAACAGGCCTAGATAAGATGCTATGTGATGTTAGATTGTAAAGCTTAGACGTTCATTCCTGGGATCGACGGATAACAGGATTTCTGTAGTAATTTGAGATGAACCTGCAATTCCTCCATGCAGGGACCCCAGAAGAAGAAAAAGGGACCGGCAACACCAGTGAAGATCATGTAAATTGTTTCATGTTCAACAGGGAAACATCACCTATTCCTTATGCGCTACGTAGATACACAAACTGGAGTCTCCTATTATTGATAGGTATGGGACAAAAAAATAAAATTCACATCATGTTTAAAGAAGGAATAAAATCTTGAATATGATCTAAGATACAAACTATCACAAACTGAATTGAACCCTTAATGCAACCTAAAAAAGAGGCCATGGAGGAGGCAAATTGATGTAGAGAGCTATGGTTACATCAGATTTACCCAGATCACTTGTAGGTTCCCATACCCACACCAACGTCTCCACTGTATGGACGGAAGCTGTCACTGGCCTTGGAATAGCAAACATAGTAGAACTCGGAAACAATGGCAGTGAACAAAGTAAAAGCAGCTCCTGCTGCAAAAACCCCCTTCCTCAATGATGGGCAATCCAGGTTTTCACCGAAAAAATTCCTGTACCTGGTGTGGTAGGCATTCCTTACTGAACCCGCAAGAAGGCATATCTCAGCAATGAAGAAAAACACCCTGGAAGAGGACAATTGGAAAAGTTCAGAAAGAGATAACATGGGTTCTATAAGATACATTGAAAGAAATAGACCTACTAATTTTAGCTTGCTCACAAAAACATGTTTATGGATAAAGGTTAGCAGCATCTATGTTCAATAATGGATACTTTTCATAGTTCAGCTTTGGATTAGCATCACCTACCAGCAGGTTATAAACAGGATAACTGCCCATGCCCTAGAACCTCCAGGACTCAAAGGCTTGCCACAGCAGAAACATTTACTGGCAAACATAATAAGGACTTGGCTAGCCAATAGGAACAAAAATGCTCCAACACCAAAGCCAGATGCAATGTCTGAATCATAGATGCAGTAACTGTAATTTTTTTCAGAATCTGGTTGGACAGTGGCCTGCAAAACAAGATATTGTAAATTTGTTGCTTCATGAAAAATCAACCACTCAGCTGCCGCCAGGTGATTGCCATAATAAGAGGTCTACCAGACATGTTACAATCTTGGGGAGCATTTTGAGTAGTTCTCATATAGATCGCACCACCAAGCAGTATTAAAATCTATTAAACATATTGAGTTTCAAGATATAATTTTTTAATGTTCAATCTCCAGGTTGTCTATAATGACTCATTGTAAATTAGTTGCGTCACTAAAAATCAACCACTCAGCTGCCAATAGATGCTTGCTATAATAAGAGGTCTACCACACATGTTACAATCTTGGGGAGCATTTTGAGTAGTTCTCATATAGATCGCACCACCAAGCAGTATTAAAATCTATTAAACATATTGACTTTCAAGATATAATTTTTTAATGTTCAATCTCCAGGTTGTCTATAATGACTTCTTGTTTAATCTAACTGCTGGCAAAAGGTTGGCAAAGGTAAAGAAAGTGAAGAAACTTGATTTTTGGAACTAGATTTACATCATCAAGGGCCCCAGAAAAGGAAAACCCACCTCTCATCAACTTAGACAAGCACAGCTATTAGCAACTAAACTATGTGATGGCCAGGGAAGTTATGTGTACTGGGTGAAATATAAGAATCAATCTAGATCCTTCTCTCTCCTTGTGAAATTGGTAGCCAGTAAGTGTCGATCAATAACAGGGTGAAATAGATACCAGAATATCATCCCACAGACACTTTGGGAAAAGGTTCTAAATATGCTCCAGGTTATAAATAAATTTTGCAAACAAAATCTGCCTGGAAAATTTTCTTTTTCCTTTCCATCTCATTCAAACTTCAGTTTATTTCTAGTAGTGTCATGGATATATGTGGTGAGAAAGGAAGTGATTTGCTGTTTGCATTACTAAAAAGTCCAAAACACTATTCATATAAACAGATATGGTAATTTGATTGCTAATATACTTTCAATACCAATTCAACATTGAAGATTTTGCTTCATCAAGTCAAAAATATTATTGCATCTAGATCTGCTAGTATGAATCCCAAAAACACTACCAATACCCCTAGCCATATGATTTCCAAGAAAATCCGAGAGAAAAGAAACAAAAAGGGATATGGTGTCGCTCACAGCCATACCATTAACAAAATGCACAGCTTAAGTAACAAAAATAACAGAACTTATTCTTGCTCAATTAAACGTATTAAACATTTTCAGATAAGAAACTGAAAATTCATGTCAGTTGGTTCATAGTCAATCGAGATTCAGTATTTCTTCATTTTCTTCACAATTCTTCAGATTTAGTACTTCTCTCTCTTATTATTTCATTTTTCTTGAAAACCAACAGACCCCTCTAGCAAAACCCCAAAACCTCACATTTATATCTTCAAGAAAACCAGAAACCACGAAAAAAACAAAAGATTGCCCAAACGTGGTACACATAACCAAGGAAGTTAAAGAAGGGACTATAAACATATACTTACAGTGCTTCTTCTCTGCTCAGCTGCAACAGCCAAGCCAAATGCTATGAGATCGAAGATAAAGACAGTAATCAACAGTAGTTTCGAAGCCATTGCAAAGCAAATTTACTACACTCTTCTCAGATCTTGCTGCTTTCTCTTTATTTCTCCCTAGCTTCTTCCCTGCCCCCTCAGTCCCTCTTTCTCTAAATATGCAAAAAGACCACTATGCAAGCATAGAAGGAATAGGGAAACTAGAGCCATTACCAAAAAAAATAAAAAATTAAAAAAAATAGAAAACCTATAAAGAAATAGACAGTATACCCAATTCAGTTCATAGAAAATGGTATGTCACCAGCCAATCGTAAAGTTAGATGGAAGGGTGTTTTGGGAATTGCATGTTGATAAAGAATTTCTGTTTTTGGTACATTGTAATAAAGTATTTGGCAGCTTAAGCGATTTTCGGGAGCGCGTTATAATCGTGTTTTTTAAAATTTTAATTTAAAATTATTATTATTTTATTATTTTAAAATTATTTTAATGTATTAATATTAAAAATATATCTTAAAAAATATAATATTTTAATATTAATACATTAAAAGTAGAAATGAGTTAGAATGGACCCAGCTCGATGCGACTGATTGTCGGTGAAGCAAAGAACTGAATCTGATGCTTCCGTAGAGTAAAGCCTACGCCCATATTATTATTATTATTATTTTTTATTATTGTTATTTTTTTGTTCTTTCAAATAGATGGGAACTTGGGGTGGCATTGCTCTCAAGTCTCAACAAATTTCATAATGTCTCGACGGCTAATCAACCGCCGGTCCCCTGTAAAGCAAAGCATGGCATTCATGCTTTGAGTGGCCATCAACAAACAAACTTGCTTAAGTAATCTGTGCTTACGAATCTCCAAAGACTAGTTGTTCAAGATTAATAACTACCAAGGTAAAGAACAATGCCTCATGGAAAGTCACTAGTCCTCGAGAAAAATAAAAATAAAAATGAAGGCTTTGCAACAAATACTCAAGCAGCACCAAGGAGTTCTGGGTTTAACATACAAGCAGAGATTTGAATGAACATTACAAGAGTTTCAAAAACTATTTCTTGTACGATATACAGACGCAAAACACACACCAAATAAAAGAATAACTCTTTACACCCTCAACCTAGCAATTCTCAAACCTGATAAATTACAAAATAGACTCGCATGGCAGCAACACCAAAGGCCTTATTATGTATGAGAGTTAATTCCTGGTCTCGCTTCTGTTGTTTTTGGGAGGGGGGTAACTGTTGGCTGGGGAGGGTACCTGGTTTAACTCAACAGATATGCTGCATCACCTAACCCTTGTTCACAAGTCCAATCACTTGTCCTGTGGGATCAGTTTGCAGCAGTGGCTCGGCCTTTCCTTCCAAACAAAAGAAGCTTTCTAAACCCTTTTGCTACTTTAGGAGAGTTATCGTCACTGTTCCATTTCTTCCTGGAGTGGATTGGTTCTGGGTTTATTTCATCAGGTGGTGGGGTCGATATTTCTATTTCAGGTTTCTCAGGTGACTCCAAAATTTCACTGAATCCACCATTTTCTCTGATATTGACAAAGCATAGGTTCAGAGCCTTATTTGGTGACTCTGGCACATGATGTATTGTTGTTTCAGATGTGCACTCACCATGATCATCTGGTGTTTCTATGTATTCACAAACAGCTGGAGCTACTTTAGAGAACCCCTCGTCACCTGCAGATGAGTCTTTGTGGAGAGAATCACCATTGCAGCCTTTATCATCTAAGCTATCTCCTGAAATCATATTTCCTGCATCATTTTTTGCGGAAGAAACACTCTGCAACTCCTTGATATCTTTGAAATCATTAATTCCTTCTGCAGATTGAGATGCTTGTGTCGGTATTAAATCCACAGGCTTCTCTGCTGTGGGTATTGTTCCATCCTTCTTTCGGTTGATGTCAGACTTGACCGTGTTTGGACTGGTATTTCCAGCACCAGCAGCCTTCTGTGATGAAATATTTGCCTTCAAGGTTGCCTTTTTGGGTTGGCCAGCTTTTGATTCAGTTGATGGCAACTTTGGGGTTGCCCGAGCAGTAGCAAGGCGATCAATAGTGGAACTCCTAAAGACTGGTTTCTTCGTATCTTGGGTTGGAGATTGGGTTTTAGGCTTCTCATTCTTTATAGAAATTGCAGTAGGTACTTTCCCTACAGGGATTCTCTTAGATGTGGCTGGACCACTGCCACCAGCACTCCTTTCTGCAATTCTCTTCTGACGTTCAATTGATAACTCCTCCATTCTCTTCCTGTTTTCTTCTTCCTGTTTTCAAGTGGTAAAATAAAGTGTCAACCAAAAAAGGGAGGTTAAGTAATGGTAAAGTGAACAATCAAGTCAGGAAATTTTGTTTAACGGACAGCATCTAACAATTTCAGATACAATGAAACTCTAGTATGATTTCTCTTGCTCCAGTTTCCATCAAGGGAATGAAACAAAAGAGAAATGCTTTAATGCTAGCTTAAATCTTTGTTCAATACCTTCTCAGATTTGCTCTTCAGAAGTGTGGTTCTGCTTGCTGAAGTTGGTTTCTTCGTCCTTGACATGATGTCAGATTTGCTCCTACCAAGAGATCCATTAGGAACTTTTGACCTGGCTTCTTTACCGGCAACTTTTTTACCAGGATTTCCACTTTTTTTGCCATTGGTGTCCATACTGTTAGAAGGAAGCTTATCCTGAGCAGTATTTGTTTCATAATCCATCTCCGGAGTCCAAGATGGTAGAGCATGCTCAGCAGCTGAATCCCGCCCAAGCACCATGTAAAGGTCATCTGGTTCATGGACATCAAATACCTTGGATTTATCTAGCGAAATCTCTGTTCTACCATTCTCATATTGAGTAGCTCCAACTACATCTGGAGCAATGCTTATGTCTGTCCGTAATAGTGAATCAGACTGATCATCTACTAACGGTCGAGCTTGGATCATGAATGAGTCATCCACTAATACATCTTTCTTATTTTTCTCAGTTTGGAAATGCTCACCAGTTAATGATGAATCATAATCACAACTGAATGCTTTACGGTCTCTGTGATCATCCATGTTTACTGACCTGTCCAGTTGGCTGCTAATAAACCAATCCCCTTCTTTTATACTTTTGGGTATTGAAGATTCAGTGGAGTAATCAGCAATGATAGGATAGTTCCCCAATTCTCCAGCTCTTTGAGAAAATAACAACTCCTCATATGTGCTATCCCTTTTCTTTATCATTGGGTGGGCATTTGCACCAGCTTCAAAGTTTTCAATACGAGATTCACCTTCATTACCAGCCTCCCTCTTTGTTGCGATGAATGAATCATCTGATAATGTTCGATGCTTCCTTATTCCCTTGGATCCCAGGTTAAATTCCAATGACCTTCCCTCCTCGTAGCTCTTAGCTGTAATGTCATCTCTCTGAATCTGTGGAGCATCAGGTTCAATTCCAAAAGAGTTCGGCTCTCTTTCTTGCATGAGAAGGCTCTGAAAAGCACCCCAGTGGTCCTTTCCTTTTTCTCCATCAAGATTTTTTGCCATTATATTCTTGCCTTCCTGATCAATAGCATCATTTGAACCATCTATAGTGCTGTGCTGTGATTTCTTGTGTTGCCGAGAGGTTGATTTATGCCGTCTCTCCAATGAACCAACAGCTTCCTGTACTTGCTGCTTGAGAGATTCTCCATCAATAAATTCATCCTCATCAGATGTGCAGTCAGATATGCTGCCCTTTTCTCCATCCTTCATTGAAGTAATGTAATTGATGTTGCGAATGACAACCTTTCTTGAGGATTTCTTCCCATGCTTTTTCCTGTGCATCTTATCCACCAAAGACCTCCTTTTGTCACTTTGCAGATGTTCATCTGATTCAGTCTCTGAGCTGGAATCACTGGGCTCAGTGGATTGATCTTGACTAGAAGCTTGCTGTTCTTTACGATGAGAAGACTTCTTCTTGCTCCTGGAGGATGATTTACGATTTTCACGATTATCAGGTTCCCAGTCTCGACCAAGGCTAGAATCATCAACATTTGGAGGCCATTGCATGTTCCCTGGAAAATATGGAGACCCAACCCGCATACCAGGAAAAAGGTAGCCTTGATACGGGGGCATTTGTTGAAATCCAGGACCTTGAAAATTGTGCATGAACTGAGGATGATGGTTTGGCCATGGCATTGACATATGAGCTTTCCCATCAGTTGATTGCATCTGAGCTGATGGGGGAAAACCAGTATCTGTAAAGATATTCAGCTACTTCAAAGATTGGCCAATAGTACAATAGACCTTAAACTATTGCTAGCTCTCTAATTTTCATCAGCTATGGGAAATAAACGGGGCACAGATAATTCAGGGATAATGATCACCATTTACTTCCTAAATTGCGTGTGATTCTGGCAACAATAATGGCAAGGCACATTTGATGGCACTTACACCTAAATGCTCTTGCAGAGAGAGATTAATATAAACCACCATAGGTTCATGTCATGAATGACTAAACCATACCTGGGTTTTGTTCTAAACTTCCAGGACTTGTAGCCGAGTCTGATGCATCCATTGAACTATTCTGCTTCCCACCAGAGAGACCACCAATTTGACCAGGGTAATTTTCCTCGCCAGAAAGTACAATACCAGAAGTTCCCAGATAAGGCAATTCCAGCTGAGATGCCTGCATTGCTGCTATTTCATCCATCCAAAGCCGATCTTGATTCTTCTTCTTGCATAGTTCCATGAAATTTATGCATGCTTCCCTAAGTGAAATCAGATAGAGGTTTTAAACCTGGACTAAAATTTAAAGCAGGGAGCTGGTTTTGAATATAATGAGGTTGACTTTAGGTAATTCAACCACAAGTTGTTCAGGCCAAAAAAATAACATCCAGAATCTTGAAGATAAGAGAAACATCATAAAACTAGATTGTTTTCTTGAAATACAAAGTGACCATAAATAAATATGATTAAATGTATTCATTTACAATGTCATTCGTCAATGACCAGCTAAACTAGTTGGGAAGGGGTTCCAAATGGGTGTGTGGGCATTCCACTATGTGTTGCCCGATGACACCATAAAGAAAGACAAGGGTCATTACGGACAACAAATATGCTGAATGGCCATTGATTTTGTCTTATATTTTGCTGAATGGCCATTGATTTTGTCTTATATAGTTGTGTACCTTAAACGTGAAGCTCCAAAAGCATCAGCAAAGCAGATAAGATTGTTTATAAAGTCTG